AAAGAGACGAAAGATCGAGCACGCTGAACGAACGACGATCGGAGCGGGCGAATTTTATTTGCCCTCTTTTCCCCGCGCTCTCTCTCTCTCTCTTTCTCGGGACAGGTTCGTTCTGTTTTCGACGCAACGCCAAACGCGATTATTTCCTCCCGGCACTTTGTATCCGCGGTGAGTGTTTCCGACATACGGCAGCCGCATACCCGATGACGCGCTCCTTTCTCTCTCTCTCTCTCTCTTTCTCTCTCGCCTCTCGCGCGCTACTCGCAGTCATCTCCGCTTCTGTCGCGGCCTTTCACGCGTCATCGTGAGTCGTCCAACCGCATCGGCGCTTCGCGCCTCGTCTCATGTACGCGATACGTAATTTAGCGAGCGTCGAGGAAACTGCGACGGTGGGTGGAACCGAAGAAATTGCCGCGCGGAATTTCTTTTCAGTTTTGTGCGCCCGACGACGGTCTCCTGAATTATTCTCGTATTACGGAATTACGGGAACGCGAACACGCGAAGATCCCACCGCACGCGCGACGGAGGGATCTTCATTTCACTGCGCGCGCGCGCGCGCCACTCGGAAAAATCGCTCGCGTTTCTCCCTCGACGTCGGTGAGGAGCCGCCGCGCGACGGAGGAGCTTCGATTATCGTCGTTACACTTCGGTATCCGCATCGGGCACGGCTATCGCCGGAGACGCGCGAGAGCGGCGCGGGTTTTACGTTGTTCCCCTTTCGCGATCCGCCGGGGTGTCATTACGCCACAGTTTATGTAATTCTATGAAATCTTCACGGTCGCGTCCGCGCGGCTCACTCATTTCACCGGACTCGAAATCATATAAATTTAACGTCACATTCTTGGCCACGTATAAACACCACCGGCAATTTGCCGTCCGCAGACGAGCAATCTGCGTGCCTTTCAACGCCAGCGAAAATGCCCTACCGCCCCCTTCCCCATACGAGCCGGATACGTAGGTTACGCGTCCCTGACCTAGGACGTCTCGATTTTGTAGAGCTGAAATGAGTCGGTGACGACGAGCGAACAAAAGAAAAATGTCTCGGTCGAATAAAAGAAAAATGCGAGAGAAAGTTTTCCGCGATATCGCGGATGACGTCGTGATGACGCTCGATTCGAGAATGAGGCTTCTCAGGCACATAGAAAAAAAAAGATCTGATAACAATTACCAAGATCTGGTTAGACGGTTTCAAATAATCATTTGGTCCCTGCAATCGTTTAGTATCATATACTATATATAGTACATGGCACGATATATGTGCACAGAAAAAGAAAGTCTTAAATCAATGAGTGATATTCTATACAAGCAAGAATAATACGCTTAGAAGATCTTTAGTCTTGAATCGAGCGCGACACTCGCATCAATACAGATCCAATCGAACTAAAACTAAAAAATGTTCCGAGAAGATTATAACATTCTTGCTCATACATGAGAATATTTATCATTGATCTGTCATTTAAGATCAGCCTTTTTCCTGCACGCCGAATGATTTGGTTGCGGTAATCAAACGATTTATTTGAAATCACATAATCAAATCTTAGTAATCGTTAACAAATCTGATTTTAATGCACGATCAGGAAATGAGAGACATCGATCGAGAAGGGGAACCACGCGGACGAGTTGTTTATCAGAATTCCGAGTGACCGTGGAAAGTCATCCGGGCAGAGTTCGGTCTTCCGGTACGACTAACGACCGGCGATACCCGCGGAACGCGCGGTGAAGTCGCGCGCGGATGGGTTGCACGTCCGTGCGCGCGTGCGCTCACGATACGGGGATAAGTTCGAAACGCGAGAACAAGCGAAGAACATCCGCCGCACCGTATTTACATCCCGGATGAGGCTATCGGGGAACGTGCCGGCGCGCTCTGAAAGCGTACGATAAGAAGAGGGAAAGAACCGGGGGGGGTAGAGAGGAACCGGGAGATGCTGAACGGCGGCCCCGCAGGCGCTCAACGGGGTACTCGGCGGTGTGTTTAAAATCGAACGGAAACCCAGTTAAACCGTATACCTCCGTGGCCACTAATAATAGAGCAGATACTGGAAGGATAGAAATACGACTTCCTCTCATCGGCACTCCCTCTGTGTGTACCCCGCGTCCTAAAAATAACGGACGGTCGGACGGACCTTCGATGTACGGCCGATTCCGCCGTGACCGGAGGGAGGAAAAGGGCGAAGGGAAGGCTCCAAGAGAGAGAGAGAGAGACAGAAAGAAAGAAAGAAAGGGAGAGAGAGATCGGTCGTTCAATTCGAACGGTAGATACTTGCCCCGCGTTCTCGCAGCACGTGCTTCCACTTAGACTCGGCGATAAGTCAGCGGAATGCGAGACGGGAAGCTCACGGACTCGCCCGCGACAAATCTCGGCCGGAATGAACGAGAACCTGCATCGGACAGGCTGGAGTCCCTTGGTGTATTGTGTTAAGCACTTCTGGTCACATCGGTGTTTTTGTGAAAAGAACAGCGATCTTTCTCGCGATTTGCATAACGAGCGTGTCGCTGAGTTACTTCCGATTCCACGGCGCACAGAGGCGGCACAACACGCTCTCCTCTTCACCCCCCCCCCCCCCC